AATCAATTTATGTGACGAAATTAAAGTGCATGAAAAGTACTCAACAATTGACCAATTAAAAGGACTATTAAATTAAACAAAGTTAACAACATCAAGAAACAAAAATCAAAAAATAAAATGAAGAAATTGACGATGCCGAGCACGAGTAGCTAGCCAAAAAGAAAAAATTGACCAATTAAAATATAAATATTGAAAGATGAAAGAGGTTGTAGCTGTATTTGTGTAATGTTGCATCACTAATAGAAATAAGGGCTCTTATAATATTATTCGATTATGTTACAATCAATCTGCCAGAAATTTAGATATGAGAGTATGAAATCTATTTAACTAATAGTAAAACAAAACGTTACCGACATCATCCTTTATTTAAATTGTACACATGTCACTCTAATATAAATTTTTTTTCCCGGCAATTTGCTATGATGATGTCATTAGTTTTTTTTTTTTTTTTTTGTACTTTTACCTTTGTTATTTTATCTAATAAAATCTTTCAATATATTTTATCCTTTGTCCCTATCGAGTCTTTTTTTTTTTACAGGTTTATTAATATTTTAATGTTCAAAAGTGTTCATTATGACCCTTTTTTTTTTCTTTTTTTTTTTTGTATGTTTTATAAGTAATATGCTTACACAAGAAATTACTTACCATGTATATAAAAAAATTACAAAGTAGAAAACTTTCTTTATCCATATTATAAAAAAAAATCTTACAATGTGTTTTGTTTAAAATCGTGCAGGAACTAAACTAGTTAAGATTAAAATAAAATAATTAAAAAAATATATATAATAAAAAAAACGGAGTAATATGTAGAGTACTATTGTTTTTAGCGAATTAAAATTTGAATTATTAATTCATTTCATTATTTTATAAGTCTTTGCGTGTACGACGTACTCATCCTTTGACAACGAGGTCTATAAATGAGTTATTGAATATATTTGTGTGTGAAAAAATAATTTCTAAGAGACGGGTTGTTTCTCTCGCTGAAGAAGACGGTAATCGTAAAGATATGAAAGAAGGTACGAATTTTTTTTAATATACAACAACAATCATAGCTTTGTTTTAAGGATGTTTTTATTTGGTTAAGTTGTCATGTATTTGTTGTACTCCCTCCGTTCCTGAAACTTTGACTCACTTTGCAATTGCCGAAGTTACTTATACATCTTTGACCATTAATAACTTCGGCTATGTATAAGTAAAAATTTTAAAAAGTTGATATTTGAAAATTTTATCATTAGGGGAATCTAATAAGATCAAATTTGTTAAATTATTTTGATTGTATAAATCATAAATTGTGGTCAAAGTTATTTTATTTTGACCACATGAATAGTAAGTGAGTCGAACTTTGGAATGGAGGTAGTATCTCTTTGTAGACCATCATATGATTTGTTATTAATTAATTAATCTTTATATTAACAAAAATACGATAATTAGTGTATCCCATAAAATATCGGGTAAGATATTTTATACCATATTCCTCTTTAGATGATTCCATCATGGTAGGGAGAAACAATCACTTTTGAGATTGCTACCCACCTATTGTAGATCGGAATTATTCCTCTTTAGATGATTGATCAATGCACGCAAGAAACGACATTTTCATAATTTAACAAAACATAATCATGATTAACATAAAAAAAAACGCTATCCTATATGTTGTCATTGAACTAACAAAAAAGATATTAACTAAGACAAAAACCACTTACCATCAACATTGGTGCTATCACAAATGCTATAGAACATAAAAGGGATATTAAGATAGAACAGTTCAAAAATATCAGTAAGATATTTGCTATCATGTTTATATAATCAGTGCAAGAAGGTTTTTTTGATATCATATTTCCTACTAAGTATAGTATTTTTTTTATATCATATTATTCATATACGAATTAATGAAGTATATGCATTTGTTTACACACAAATACTTAATGTGAGCAAAATTATGCCAAAGAAAAGGATTAATAACACAAACAATTAGGTGATGTAAGCCGAAAATGTGTTTTTACACTGTCACATACGAAGTATGTTAGTTCTGCTACCATTATCTCGTCTTTTATCACACTTTGTACTATTACTACTATATACATTTTTTATTTTTTACTTGTAACATTTGTTATTTCACGTTTGCCAACATATATTTTAATGACTAATATCTTTAATCACCATTTATATTTCAATGAAAAATATGTTTCTACCTTTGCCCTCTCCTTTATTATTGTCCTATAATAGATGAAAATTTCCAAAAAAAAAAAAAAATCATGAGTATTACCATTGAAGAGAATTTAAAAATGTTTCAAAAAAAAAAAAAAAAAAAAAAAAAAATTCAAAATTGTCTTTGAAAATCAATAATGCTTGTTAAAAAAATTTAAATCTAATCATGGGAGAGAATTATATTTGTTTCCAAATGAATTGTATTTTTTGGTATCTCCTGAAGCATATTCAAAAACAAATTCTCGGATGTAGTTTTATTTTTAATCTCTGTAAGACCCTGTTCACTTCACCTTAAAAAATAATATTTAGTAAAAATAAGTTTAGTTCAGTAAAAATAAGTTTAGCTTGGTAAAATTAATTTCAATTCAATAAAAATCAGTAACTTTAAAGAAGAAATATAATTAAAAAAATGAGTAAAAATAATTTCACTTCAACAAAAATAATTTTTGTTCAGTAAAATTAATTTTAGTTTAGTAAAAATAATTTCAGTTCAGTAAAAATTATTGAAAAATTATTTCACTCCAGCAAAAATAAGGTGAAGTGAACAGGGTCTAACATTAGAACTAGTAAGGTTCCTTTGAGTAGTGGACTTACTCTGAGGTTTGTGATAAACCTCAGTGAATGAATGTGAAGTTTTGTCTAATTTTGAGATGAATCACATATTAAATTGACTTGCCTAGCATAAATTAAAGTATGTCAATAAATTTCTTATTTATCAATTTGCTTGATTTTTTTTCCAGACAATTAAAATGGTATGGAAATACAAGTTCAATGAGATTTTTATCCTTATTTTATTAAACTACAACATTTTTTCCAGTAAATAATATGCTTTTTTAAATTACCATGTCTTATATTTTAATTTTTAGTTGATGATATTACTTATATTCCGTAGGAAAAACACAAATTTTCATATTTGACTGATTACACGGTGTGGCCGGGGTTACTCGGTCGGTCAAGAGTTGGTCGATAAAGGGTTATCCGATCAGTGTTTTGGCGTGTGTCATCTTGTCGCACGGTATAGCTAGCCACACCAAAAAAAGCACCGTTTTGAAAAGGGGTAGTATTGATAAGTAAAAGAAATCAATTTTGTAAAGTCCTCCTCGGCTCCTCCTCGCCTTATATAATCGAGATTGATTTATTACTTACTTTTATCTTATCCTTGAAACTCAAGAATGATTCTAGACTTGAGTTTGGAGGCTACTACAAAGTATGAAGTACCAATTAATAAGTATAAAATTTCCACAACTTAACAATTGGGTTTGGGACCAAAATTAAGGTCGAGGCAACTTGCTACAAAGACTACGACCGAGGTCCAAGATATGCTATTTAGTTTAAATCATACGGTAAAAACAACTCAAACAACCTATATACTAACAATTATCACACGTTTAATTATCTCAATTGTTGATTTATATAGCAATTTATGCTGACCATATTATAATACGTCATTATAAATTCACAAACTATTGGGTGTGACAGTTCGCACCCATAGTTTCGTGCGGCAACTACAAACAAGATGATCTCTTGCTTCCTTGGCTGCTTCCAGTTCTTGACAGATACTCTACCGGCGATAACTCCGATCGAATTGTTGACGGAGAAGAGGGGGAAAGGCAGCATATGGTGGTGCGATTGATACCAGGATTTCGATTGCCGATTGAATCGAAGGCTGCTATTGCGATTTTGGTGGTGGTTTGGGGCAACAGGGGAGTTGCGTGAGTGGAGTTCTTTGGGGAGCAGGGGAGTTGTGTGAGTGGAGAGGAGAAAATAAAACTAATGATAATAAATGTGTGATATCAGTTAATATTAGGGACATATTAGACATTAATAAAAACGTATTAGCCAACAAAAGGAATCTATCAGCCAACAAAAGATACATATCAGCCAACAAGAGGAATATATCACCCAACAAAAAGTACTTATCAGCCAAGAGACGAAACATATTAGCCAACAAATGAAGCATATCAGCCAACAAAATGATGAAATCAGCAAACAAGAGCAACACGTAAGCCAACAAAATAAACACATCAGCCAACACAATGAAACATATAAGTAAACAATTAAAATATACATATCAGCCAACAAAATAAAAATATCAGCCAACTAACGTCTGATAGCAGGCAACAAAAGGAACATATAAAAAATTAAAAAAATTAAAAAAAAAATTTTAAAAATTACACTATGTGACTCTGATCTCCAGTTGCCTTTAATTTTTGTGTAGACACTTGGAGTAAAACATATCAAAAACAAAAGCGTATTAAGCATACATATAGAGACGGAGGAAAGACATTGGAAGTGACCTAATGTCCTAATATTATGTCGGAAGGATGAAGGAAATGACCTATTATTGTAACGAAAGTTGTGGATATATGGTAGGGTCTAAAAGGATAAATCCCAACTGTAAAGCTACATGGAAAAAACTATTCATCACCATAAAATCTTAAATACAGTCCAATACGGCTAGCACCCACCTTTCTCAGCCGCCACTATGTACATTGGATTAGTAGCATTGAGACATTCTATTTCATTTGTACTATTTTTGTTGCTATGCTATCTTATATTTTATTTCATCTGTTTTACAAAACTGTGTCGTTTTTTACTTTTTACACTATTCATCATATATTAGCTATGATAATAGTTTATTACTACTCTCTAACTCTGTTGTTCCAGAGTAATCGACATATATAACTTAATTAACAATTTACATATTAACGTTAACTATAGTTTTCTAATATGTACTCTATAATTAATTAAGTTGATAATGGTCAAAAAGGTTCAGTTGGCAAGTGTATTAAAGTAGTTCATGTAGCTAGCTAGTGTGAAATTGGGGAAGTATTCTATTTTGTATTTGTTTTTTTTAACAATATAATTAAAGCATGTGTCTTTTTCTGCCCAAGTTGCACGCACAACAAAATTAATTGAGCTTTTGATGCACTATATATACTTCATGAACCACCTTACAAAATGTAGTGAAACTTCCATAAGATTTCTTATATTTATACTTTAATTTTATCTCATTTTTTTTTTCTTTTTCTTCATACCCACCAAAAAAATACAAGCTTTAGTACCATACCCAATACAATTATGCAATGGAACCCAAATCAAGTTCTCAAACTGTCATAGAAATTGTTATAGATCAACCAAAGTTATTAGCAAATAATAATGATGCCAATAAACACACCAAAGTTAACATTTATGAGTATTTTGTAAATACCATATTAGTTAAATTTCATGCAGGTTATTTTAGAGTAAGTTTTTCCTTGTGTGCTCAAGCATTACTATGGAAAAACTTAATCGAATTCATCAAAAATAACCACCACCACCATCATTTACGCAATTTGGCTATATTCCACGTGCTACCATCAATAGCTTGTACACTTACATGGTCAATTTCTCTAGGCATGTTAATCTCACTATCTATTCTTTACGCGTTAAGGTGTATATATCACTTTGGAAAAGTTAAGGGCGAGTTCTTACACCATGTAGGGGTAAACTATTTGTTTGCACCTTCGATGTCATGCCTCTTATTGCTACAAACCTCACCTTTTAACCTACCAATGCGCGATAACATCTATATGCGACTACTTTGGTGGGTGTTTGTGCTTCCAATCATCATCCTAGACATAAAAATTTATGGACAATGGTTCACAAAGGGAAAGAGGTTATTGTCAAGGGTGGCAAACCCTACTTGTCAACTATCAATTATCGCGAATTTGGTGGCTGCTAAGGCTGCCGTAGACATGGGATGGTTAGAGATTGCTTTGTGTTTGTTCTCATTGGCTATGGCTCATTATCTGGTGTTGTTCATCACACTTTATCAGAGACTTCCAGGGAGTAATGGTGTGTCGATGATGCTAAGGCCGGTTTTCTTCTTGTTTATCGCGACTCCAAGCATGGCGAGCTTAGCTTGGGGCTCTATAAATGGAAAATTTGATGAAGGTTCCAAGATGTTGTTCTTTCTCTCCTTGTTTCTCTTCATGTCCTTGGTAAGAACTTGTTTTACTTTTCAATCTATCTTATGTATAATTGTTTATTGAGTGATCATGTACATTTGCATTTACTTATAGTTCTTTCAATTCTACCATTTATAATTTATATAAATATACAATCCTATACTAAAAAAAAAAAAAGGTAATCTTATCAAATTTTACCTAAGGATCTTTAAAATTGATTGAGCAAAATATGTAAAAAGCTACCTTTTTTTTTTGTAATTTATCAGATTGATTAGCAAAATGTGTTACTTATTATAAAGTCTTTTTCGATCAAACCATCGACTTAATGCCTAATTTTTAAAAAATAAGAATTAAACTTAACAAATAAAAACAATAAAGATGGAATTAATTTTCATGAAAGATAAATGAATTAGGTTTGGGGTTAATGGTAGTCATACATGCATTGCATGTTTATTTTGAACGTAATTTTTATTCAAATTTGATGGCGGGTGCATACATTTTAAATTTTTAATTGTCATTGTCAAAGAGAATAATCTGATTAAATGATGAGAAAGTTGGTGTAAATAATAAATTGTTGTACTCCCAAAAATTAATACATTTGATTAATAAAATAGCAGCAAATATTTCATATTTGTGTGTAATTAAAGTAATTGATAGCGTCAAATATGTAAAGCATAATTCATGAAAGTGGAACATTTTGTACGTACCTTTTTCCCAAAAATGATATATTATGGTCCCTCAAAAAGTTCATTTTCACTAGACTCACTACTTCGCAAGCAAGTAGTTTAAGTCTTTTAACCATTTAGTCAATTTTAACTACAATATTACAAAATAACTTTTTCAAATTTTTTTTTTTTAAAAACGGTAAGATATGAGGAGATCCCCCTCTTATCACGAAGGGGAAGCTGAGGAGTCGAATCCAGGGCACACCTAAGGGAGATGGAGGGACTAACCATCCTTCCACTCCTCACTCATCAAAAAAATAACTTCTTCATATATGACTCTATCTATAACTTATGACAATGGTTGTGAAATTTCAGGTAAGTAGACCAACATTATTCCATAAATCGATGAGAAAGTTCAACATAGCGTGGTGGGCTTACTCGTTTCCTATGACGTTACTAGCGTTGGCGTCACTTGAGTATGCGCAACAAGTGAAGAATGGTGTTGCTCATACGCTTGCTCTTGTGCTCTCAAGTCTTTCTATTTTGGTCACTCTTGCTTTAATGGTCCTTACTACCTTCAACATCAACAAATTGTTCACTCGCACTCAACCAAATAACCAATAAATATCTTTACTAGCTTATACAGATCGAAAAAGTATATGCGAACAACTATACAATCTATTCTTATCCTTTATGACAATAGCAAGTATTTGTTGGTATTTTTAGACCTCACGTTCATGTAATATTGTTCTAACATGAGGTTTTGAAGTACCAATAAATTATGGTTATTGTTTTAGAAGACAAGAGCAGTTATTGATTTATATGCCCTCAATAGGAATTTACTTTATTTATTTTTCTTTCTTTCATTCTTTCTTTATTTATTATAGATGGAGGTATGTGTAATAAAAAAAAATTGATCTTTGAAAGTAGACACTTTGTCTAATTAAGTATCCATTTTTTTTGTTTGGTCTTTATACTTTAAGTATATTAAGACGTGTACAGAAATTTGATGTGTAGATAATGTTTTGAAATACGAACACAAGATAAAACGTTTGCTCAACTCAAAGAATGACCATCTCAGACTGTTTTTATGATTACTTTTGTTTTTAGTTGTGCTTAAGCTAACAATTTATATTGCATTATACTAATAGTCTCTCTATAATCGTACTACTTTCAACATAAATTCATCATAATGCGGTAAAGGCCGTGAATTCTTTCTCGAGTAAACATCATTGTGCATACTGACGTTCCTCATCCATCTCCTCTCCCTAGCAAATCGGATGCATCATTGGTGGGTTGGTATCAAGCCTCGAGTCTAATCATACGAGTCGCAAGCTCTCTTGATTCGATCGAGGTGCTCTTGAAATGTATAGTCATATTTACTACCTCGATCTGTCCTGAGTTGGAAGAGCATAGACTTTCCTTGAAAGATTGAAAAGATGTAAACTTGAAAGAACAACAATCATAGATTGTTGTTGACACCGAGTTTAACATTGGGTTGGACGTTGGACTTGAAATTGGGTTCGACATTAAGTTTGAGTTAGAGACACTGAGATGCATACTTGAAGCTGGCTTAGAGCTAGGAGGGGAAGCTAATCAGCATGTAATTGTAAAAATGTTCCATGATCAGTAAGTGGATTAACTCCAATTTTTCACTAGAGATACAAAATTAGTAACTCAACAATTTGACATTTTAAAATGAAGCATTGCTCTTCCTTATCTCATATGCACGAAAATAATCTCATTTTTTTTTTTATAAAGAATGGGTCAAAATTCAGATGAATATACACCTCTAGAGATTTGTTTCCTGAAAAATTAAATAAACATAAAACTATAGAAAAGTGAAATTTCTGTCCAGTATTTCATACACTATAGTTCCCAGAGTCCAGTAATTTAGAATCCTCACTTGGATCGTCACTTTCCGATAACTGAATGTGTGATTTTGCACTCATTTTATTCCACTCATTTTCCACACGAAAGAAAACCCATTGAAAACGACGGAAAATCTCCAGAGCAGTAATAGCAAAAACAGTAAGGTAATTATGTCGGAGATGGGCAGAAAGCTTGTACGTCCAAGTACATCGCATAATCAAATTGCTTCCAATCACCCAGCAATAAACCTGAAAATTCCATGGAACAATGATGAACAAAACAAATATCCTACTTAAATTATTTCAAAAAAAAAAAATCCTACTAAAATTTAAATGTATCATTCAGACAGGTAAAAATAGTTTGAGAAAGGTATTATTTACCCAAGTCCGTCCATGCAGAAGGTATGAGCAAATATGAGGCCTCCCAAACTTGAAAATCCGAGTGAAACAGCTGAATGTCAAAAGAAATATCACATGAATAATCAAAATTCCAGGTGTAGCGATAAGCAGTTTTCAATATATAATAAGACAATCTTTGAAATAGGAAATAACTACCAGAAGAATGGCTTATTATTTGAGATGTTATATATTTCAACTAATGGAAAATAAGAATGTAACTCTTCACAGTGGTCATCAAAGCCCATGATTTTACGACCAACAACAACAAAGCATTAGTCCCAAAATGATTACACACTAATTTTAAATATTTGGTCCTAGTCTTTCTTTTTTTTTTTTTCCAGTTTGAGAGACAGTACCCTCAGCCAAAAGCATGATAAGACCGGAACTAGACTAAGGATCTAAAGTTGGCCACTTTGCCAAAAAAAAAAAAATAGTTCAAGTTTTAACATTTCAAGATATTCCCAAGATTAAAAAGCTTCTTACAAAAACATTCATTAATTTTTATGTTAAAAAACTCTTTTCAAATGTAAAAGATAAATTTTGATTTCAACCTACTCTCTTCCCGTTTCTAGCCATAGGGTCCTTCCCCAACATATTTTCCCCTAGAGGTCTGTTTTCAATAGCCTTCATTCTCTCCTTATCCCTCCTTTCATTTAATTAGTCCAGCTACGGATTGAATATCAAGTTCTGAATGCTCCTCCCCAAAGTCAGCCCTCCTTACCTACACAATGCCGCAATGTGATACAAGACTTAGCGATGAATATCAAGTTCATCAAAAAAAGTGATGGATTTTCCCATCCATTGTTAAAAGTTTAAACTTGTTGGTAGCATTGAAATGTTTCCTTGCAACAATCTAACCCACTACCTTGCATGTTTCTATTTCTTCCATAAACAATTGTAGGCTTTTTAGCCATTTTCTGCACTAATTATCAATCAATAAGCACTAGGCTCCTAATGAGAACTTTAATCAAGAGTGAATTATTACAGTATTAGCAACATGATTCTCTCCTATTCTCTTCCCAAAATAGTGATCTTTGAGGGCAAACGGAAGAGAGAACATTCAATATATGCATAGATCATTGTACAACAATATGAACAAATAAGAATTATAAACAAATAAAATTACTCCATGAATCAAATTAGTCCTCCGTATATTATTTCCTTTTTTTTTTATTTGTGTGTTGAATAGTGTTTACTTTGCTTTGTTCACAGAATAGCCCCCTTTTTTGGGAAATTGCTATCTCAATTTAAAAGGATAAAAGAAACGGTGAACAAACAAGGAAATGATGGATCAGTGAGGAAAGAAATAGTCAGAGAGAGTAGATGTTGTGAAATAGTGATATGCCATAGTCCCACGCATACGAGGAAGAGAATGGAAGAGAACAAAGGATGGGGGGGGGGTGGAGAGTGGGAGGTATAGTGACATACTTAAATATTAGTTTTAAACCTACTACTACGTAATATTTAACACTACTTATCATAAAAAATAATTAACTGAGGATGGTTTCCAAATTACTTTTGGAAGAAAGCCCCTGTACTTATGAAAAGCATTAGAAATTTTGCAAGTTGAAAATACCTTTACATGTGTGAAAATAAGTGTCCGGATAGCAAGAAACATAGAGGATTAAATAAAGGGTACAGTAATATAAAGTATTCAATGAAGTAAACAACATGGATACCAATTAAAAAAAAAAGGTGATTTTGCCACGTAAACATACCTCATATCCCAATCTCGCGTAATATCCCAGTAAAAGGAATACATAGAATTCAAAAGACTTGACATCAACCAGAGTGGCCGATATATGCTTGTCCACTTATCTGGGAACACATGATATTTGAGTGCTGAAAGGAAGATAACAGGTACTGCTGTGGAATATTTTAGAGCTGATACAAAAACAATTAGAATGGGTTCACAATATTGTGGATATTAAGAGATTCAACAGAACAATTATCAAGTGCAGAGAGAACTATAGACTGGCCAGATATGATTTATCCAAAAGAAAATATTGAAAACTAGTTGTTAAACCTGTGCAATGCCCGGGTTGTTTAGTAGTATTCTTGTTAATTTGTTATGTACTCATACAGTCATACTCTGCAATTTTATATATGTATTTTATGTTTGGCAGTTATTTCAAAGGATTCATTTAAATCCTAATGTAAGTAATATAATCATATTCCTACCATGATTCATACTTGTCCTATAACAATATAGCCATATTGCTACTACAATATCTTCATAATTAGTTGGATCCAATATGATAAATGGTCTTATTTTAAAGCAATTTCCACCTTTTTCAATGATGTAAAAATTATTATAGTCTTGGCAAATGCTTAAAAGAAGCACTGCATCTAATGACTATCCTCTTACCATTCAAAAGGCTTGATTTCTCTCCAGTGTCCTTGTATTGACGAAGGCATTGCAATAGCCGAAAAATATATGGTAGAACAAGAACCACTGGAATTGCAACAGAGTGACTTCCACATACAGAATCAGCTTCAAACCATGCAATAGTAGCAACCTACACCAATAATAATCAAGCACCATTTACAGTAAGAGATTTATAGCAACTTCAGCTGACAGACCCAAGGTCAAAGAACCATGATATGTGCAGTGTAAGTACTGAACCCCCAATCACCAAGTTGTCAGAAGAAATAATAGCTAGGGAACAATACAGGAAACATGGGGACTGGTGAATTTTTCTTAAACAAACAACCACATGCAACAATTCACCAGTCCCCGTGATCCAAGAAACTAATAAAAGACAGAAAGTGAAAGTTTGTGGTGAATTGAAAGACAGAAATTTTTCCAAGAAATTAATAAAAGACAGAAATTGAAAGTTTGTGGTCTACGGTTGAGGAAGCAGTTTCTAATCCATATTATAATTATTGCTATACACCAACATGCAATATTGGTTTGTTTCTCTTCGGTATACTACGTACCAGTCCACCAAGCTCTTGAATAATTGTTCTCCACATCAAAGATTTTGACAATATTCAAATTAATGTTATCCAAATAAAATTTTTTGCTAATTTTAACATGAATCGCTTGTTAATGTAAGACATATTCACCAATGTACTACATAATATCTAATGTCATAATAAAAGTTAGAAACAAAAATGGAGAAGTGATTAAGATGTGGAATAAAGGCAATGTTCATACAAGATTCTAGCTAACAAGGAAACTCTAAAAGCAAATAGATTTCCACTCGTCACAACTTTTTCATAGTAAATAGTGTACCCATTGCATATACTTCTATCTATTCAATATTAATTTACACAGTAATGAGGGGATGAGAAAAGAGGAATAAGGAAAAACCTGACGATGGACCATGCGACAGACTGAACGCTCCAAGTCTGACAATACCTGCACCGAACAATAAACACCAAAAACAAAACTTATAATTCTTCTGATTTCAATTATATATTTGACTAACACACTTTTCAATGCACAACTTTGACAATAAATATCTTTGATTTATCTATTAGTAAAAAAGTACAAAAAGAAAAAAAATGATAGCGTTAATATATACCATGATGTAATTCAAGACAGACCTTGATAACATTTGCTTTAAATAGATTAGTAGAAAATAAGAGGTCATATTTACGACTCTGTTCATGAATTGGCGAAACTAACAGTGTTCAATTATTGTGGTATGCCAAGGAATTATAATTATAAATACATATTTAAAAGTATTTAGCTCAGCGGTAATTACAGAACATACAAACAATGACCCCTATGCATAATTACCAAATTATATGATCAGTTTACAAACATTAGTATGGGTACAAAGTTCACTATACGCTTTGACATTCAAAATGTAGAGTTACATAAGGCTTTAGTCATCATTACGCTCAATTTTTTTTAGTGTATTTGACAGACTAGAACAATAAAAAAAGTACAGCTAAATAATAGACTGAACTAACATAGGAAATATAATATATTACAGAGAGGGGCCAAAATGGCTAAGAGATGTTGCCAAAAAAAGAAAAAGAAAAAAAAAAGAACAGAGTTTAAGGCCTCTCCTCTTCCCCAACCCCTACCCCAAGTCCCAACCACCTAAAATCAAAGAGAGAGAATAAAGGATCAAGTCAACATTCAGGGAACAATACTGCAGGAGGTAGCCTGAGCAGCAACCAGCTAAATTGTCCAATCCTCCAAAAGTAAAACAACAATTCACATCTTAATATAGTTCTTGATCATGGCTTATCTCCTCGTAATTAACTCACCCTTCACTAACCAACAGAAGCCCCAAGAATTTTGACAACTAGATTTTCCACTTTAGAATTCTAGATTGTGTGCATAGATGACCTGGTGCACTTTTAATTAACAAATTATGAACAACCGAGAATACACTCTGCCGTGGAAATAGGTGATGTTGGTAATCACCCTCCTATGACCCTGATTTCCGCTTAAAAATTCATAAATCATTCTCACTACTATTATTTCATCAGTATAATCATATCTTAAAGATTGCAAGCCGATCAAGAAAAAGTAAAAGGCCAAAGCAAAGAATGTAGCCAATATTGTTAATTTGATAGTTTTTTTAAAAAAAATTCAATTCGCTAAGAACTTTCAATGGAATCAGAGACCAGCAACTTCCAGTCAGAGAATGTTCCAAGGGAAGAAAATTAAAACAAAATGAGAGTGCAATGAAAAAAAAAAAAAAAAAAAAAAACACGCAGCCAAATGTGCACTATTTTGTTAATCCACATACTAAAAGTAAATTTTCAAATGACATGAATAGCTCATACAAATATACAACATTAATACCTTAGACATGGACGTCAAGATATCAGCCAAGAAGAAGTCCGAAAAGGTTATCGCCTGCATTAACAAGCAATAAAGTAAAGTTGCTACCAAAAACAAAAGTTAGAACTGCAAAAGGGGGTGGGGAAAATGCGAGGTAAGGTTTCATTGCACAGCCAAAAGAGCATTAAAGTTACCATGTCCATTGTCATTTTACATGCTTTCTTAAGAGGCAGAAGGTATCGCATAGTCCTGGATCACTGTTCCCTCCTCTAATTGATGAGATGGTGATCTCTACAAAAATTTGTGACCATCTTATAGTGAGGAGAGAGCAAAGGTCCAAGACCTAGCAATATTTCTTTTCTTAGAGGGGGCTTCCTAATTTACGAGGGAATTGGGGGCAGGGGACTATCAGCAACCTTATACATGAACCAACATCGAAGAGCTTCAATACAGTGTGTATGTGGGTGCGCACATGCGCAGGCGTGTAGTTATGTGCTAGTTATAAGCATAATTGGCAACACAATATTATGCGGTGCCAATGGCCAAACCCTTGCAAATCTCCCCAGAGTCCCAACCTCAATTTGTGTGCAGTGTGCTCTTTCTGGGTCTTGGACCCAGATAAGCACAACTTCTGCAACTCTAAAGAAATATTATCCTTGAGATACAGATGAAAATTGAAAAATTCCTTGCAGACCTGATGATTTTAAATTTTAAAAATTTAGGTTTGCATGCCAAAGGGAAGAATACATTAAATGAATGAGTTTAGCTTGCCTAAATCAGATGTGTTTGGATGGGTAAACTTCAAAATATTGATAATCAAGCATTTTCTTCAGGGATGGAATTGACTTTGGAGTCAAACATTAAATTCGCTCCGAATCGATCTATTAGAACATGTTCTAAGAAAAAGCTTTATTGTTGCAGGAGATAGTTTGGCATTATTCATGTTATAGTTAATCACTAATGTCAAACCACTGTCTTTCAACATAAAGAAATGTAAGTGATGTCTTAAAAAGTTCTTTCACGAATTTTAATAGTGATGATATGAAAAGCTCAGAATTCATTTATTAAGAAAATAATTAATTCCACAAAAAGTCAGGGAGGATTGCCAACTCTACAACATAAGAAGCAAAAAAGAACAGCATTGATGACAAATGATCAATTCAACAGCATGAACGCTAAGCAAGAGCTTACTTGCCTGCAATGGAAGAACTATCCTCCAAAGAGTTCTCAACAGGTAGTACCGTGACGATAAGTAAAAAATGTCAAAAGGGGATATCAAAAGCATAAGAGCAGCAACGTACAAAAGAACCTGCAATAGCGAGGTATATAAATGTGAATAACTTATCAAACCATTTCTAAACATCCAATATAAACAAATTTGACAAACATTCAGATTAGCATAGAAACTGATGGGGGAAAGCCAGCCAACTGTTTTTGACAAAAATCTGTTATAAACTATACCGTTTTGCAGATTGTGGATATAATCGGCTGTTGATGGGAATATACTGCAATACGGTCTAGTTTATTCTGAAAATCTGTGCCACTTGACCAAGAGAGCAGATTTTCGAAATGATTTACAATCACCTAAAGCAAAGGTATAAAGCCATTTAAACATTCAACCCATTTAATAAGCTATTATTAAGAATGGGGATTACTTGAAAAGAATATTCCTAATGACTTCTTTAACACACCATTAACAAGATATTGCATAAATGCCCTAGCCAATTTAAGAGGGTACTTTTTCTTTGTAGCTATAGGCATTCAGAAAGATAACATTGCTTCGAACACTCTACTCAAAGCTCCATCATCAGGCCCTAGCAATAAATGATAGAAAGTAGAAACACATGCATAACATTGAAGTAAACAACAACGAATGTTAAAATAAACATAATAGAAGAAAACAGTCAGGCCTCAAGTTTTACATACAGGTATGAGTATCGAATAGATTCAATTTTTTAAACGAAAATTAAGATTATTGGTGTAAATGACAAGAAAAGGAGGTATCTATTACACTGGTTGAGATGCTGCTAATGACACTTCTCCATCTGAGTACAGATAAAGGTATGCTGTCATGCTGGTTGGAACTATGATGGTCATCCAAGTGGCACACTGCAACCAAAACATAACAGTGAGAAACTAAACCAATATTGATGTTTTACTAAAACAGGAGAAGAATCTAAAAGGAACGAATTGACAGTCACAACACTAAATAAGTAGCCTGAGTATGATTAAGATGAGACCACATGTTGTCTAATAAGAATTACAAAAACTTTTGTATACATCCGATGTACAGTAATATTATTGTACATTGAGGTAACTTTTGTTGATTTTAGGGTAACTTTTACACCTTTTTGGGTAACTTTTATCAATAAAGCATTAATAACTGTTATTTATATCAAGGTAACTTATATATACTGGATCACTTTCATTCATTAGAGGGTAACTTTTTGATCATTTTAAAGTGACTTTGTAGCGGATGTACAATATTTTATTGTACATCCGATTTTTATAAATGTTTGTGTAAGAATTAAATCTCTATTAAATAAATCAAAATATTTATAATGCAATCATCTAAACTCGTGAACAATCATTAAAGGATGTACTGACTACAAAGGGCTTATGCGGAGAATTCTGCATGCAATAAGTAAGACTTGTTCTTATCTATAAAAATTTATTTATCCCAACAGAATTGCTAGTACCAACTACCAAGGGCATCAGGATGAAGAATGATCAAGACAAATTAGTCTTGAGGAGTATCACTGGGAAAGCAAAATCAGGTAGCCTAGCCATCTAGCCCATGCATGTTGTCATGAAACAAGTTTCCATTTCACCACCCTCCCCCCCCCCCCACCTCCCCCTTCTTCCCCCTCAAAAAAAAAAAAAAAAAAGACTGAGATTGATATGAAACTAACACAAACACAAACAGAAAGTATTGATCAAGTCAGAGCAGCAGCTCAAATGATGGATCCTAGAAACAGCTAAGTAAAATATTCGAATTCTGATCCAATTTGCACATTTGATATAGTATCTTTGAACATTAGAAGGAAATTAGTTGGATAAATAAGCTTAACAGCTGTTTAAGGCATTAGTTTAGTTAATGCTTCTACAATTTTATTAGAAGAATTTATACAAGCAACAACAAACAATTCAAAGTTACTGCATGCTGGAATCAAGACCTTTGCAATAAAACTCTTGCTTTCACTTTTAATATTTATCTTTGGGGAGAAGTCAAGCTTCTTAGCAAATCAAAAGGAGGCACCTAATTTTGGTTATTACAACTTGTATTCTATAATTGTTCTAGAAATCACAGATATAATAAAAAGGGTATAAACTATAAATACTCTCAATCTCTCATTATAATAACAGTAAAAACAAGCAACTAAAACTAAATTGATGGTAAGAGAAAAGGCTGAGAGACTCAGTTAGTAGTCTCCATCTAGTTGTGAAAGAAGTCTTTAGAAGAAAAAGCTAGCCGTTAGCTCTAAACATCACACAATCTCGAGGATTCCTTGCCTCCTTGGAATGGCCCTCATCATCCAAGATAGACTCAGGGGACTTTGGTTTGTTAAACTAGAAGGGATTGAAATGGAATCTCATACTAGGGAGGTATGGATTCAAAATCACAAACTAGTTTGAAGTTTTTTGGTTTATTAGTGATTTGGTGGAATGGTTTTTACATCTCATTAATAAAATGGATAGTGAATTTTAGGAGGCTAGTTGGGTATGGGATTCTAGGGGAAGGGGTAGAGTAAGAACCCACCTTGGCATGAGGTTCCATAGTTAAAAAGTCTAATCAAACAATAAAATGAATAGAATGGGTTCTAACTTCATTCCAACTCATTCCAAAAGGTCCAATCAAACGGCCCTTCAAATCCTAGTTCTTGTGATTCCTACAAAGATATTCTATGTCTCAATGATCGAGTAAATATATATTTCTTTTTAATTAACAAATTACATATGCTCAAGTATAGATTTTTCAGATATTTTAGCAATAAATCACAGAGGACTACATTTTGTATACCACATTTTGCAAACAATTACTCCCTCCATCCCTAGAAGATTGCCAATGCTATATTTTGGGGGTCAAACTTTTAAAAATTTTACCACAAATTCTCACTAATCTATAAGAAATAATACAAAAGTATATATATATATATAATATATATATATATATATATATTATGTTTTTAGACATGTCTTGAAGAACGTAAAAAGTCAGATGGAGAAAACATATAAGGATGGCAAGAGTGCCTAATAGTTTTTCCTTAAACAACTACCTTGTAAGACACATTGTGCAAAATGAACATTAGTATTTGACGATTTTCATGAATTTCAAACATTAAGAATGACCAACGAAACCCAATCAACATGGAAGCAAGGGGAAAGGGGTTATTTTATAGTTCTCAGAAGCTCACAAAATTCGTCAAATGGTAACATTATACAGCTTGAGATTTCTACTCCTTTCATATATCGCATAGGGCATATGCCTTGCTCCTTCACGTCAATCTTTCCAATTTCTTCCTTACCTAAGTCTTCTTCACATAAATCCTGCAAACCCTCATTGGACAATAATTGTTAAGCCGCTTCTCTTTCCTTTCCAAGGTACTTTCTTTTCTTTGAATACCCATAACTTCCCCTATACTCTTACATAATCACTCCTCCCAAAATAGTTCTTGTTTGAAGAAATCTCTCATCCATTTGACCTATTCTAGGATAGGACCTTAATTTCACCACTTTGGTAGGATTAAGAATTGTATATTTGTATGCATTTCATCCTCTATGCAAGCATTCTTTAAAAATTGTATGCATTTCACCCCCTATGCGAGCACCCTTCAGAAATTATATGCATTTCACCCACCATGGACTTTTGCTTTATACTTTAATCAATGTTAGTAGAACACATACACGGGCACAAGTAAAGTCTTTTATGGAGTTATTGTCAACATTCCCTAGTTATTTGAATGAAAACTATTGACCTAGTCTTCTTCCCAAGACTATATAAGAGTCAAAGGATCCCTTTCAAGCCCACTACCTTTATTTCCTTTTGGGGGGGAGGGGGGGAACCTTTTAGAAAGGGTAAAAGTAATTTCACTCTTGCATGTGCATGCAAAAGTTGTGAAAAAGAGAGATGGATAAAGGATGTAACCTTTTCGTTCTTTTACGTGGTTCCATCAAATTTACATCACTTTGTCTTTGCTAGGGGTTCCTGAACTCAGTTGTGGAAGGGGGAATATATTTTAAGTGGCTCATAAAAAAAGAGAGAAAAGGCCTAATAACTATAATAGAACTTGATTCCTTTAGCAGTCTGAGGGTGAACCTAAAAAGAGAAAGAGGGAGAGAGATAAATCTTTAACAGAAAACTTTAGGGTACCGGGAGAGAGAGAGAGATAGGGAGTAATTCTTAAATATCAAGATTTCCAATTGTTTGAAATTAATTGCAGTCGAAGCCAAGTGAAAGTTTTTCCATTATTACCAGCACTTTTCTTATCTTGATTCATATATGAAGTATACGAGAGTTGCCAGGAAAAAATGATGGGTTATTTTTCTTATCTGCTCTTTTGTGGAAGAATGGACCCTCCAATATAACTTTCTATAAATAATGTTTATCATTCATCTAAAAATATCACAGCAAACTACAGAATTTGTAGAAACACATGCAACCTGGACCAGAAGCTAACAGGAAAATACGAGTATAATAAAAGTAATCATACAGGTGCAGAATATTCAGTTGAAAATGGATTAAAACTTCATTACCTTCCATATTTCTCTGTGAGTAAGATGATTTTGATCAAGGTCAAATATTTTTGCATAATTGACATTAGCCTGAGAAAAGACCCATAAATTTATCCCCCAAAACCAAACCATCAAAGTCTGCAAAGACGATTCACAAAAATTATTAATTTCAGTAAACAACTCAATTCATAAGGAGCACAGGGTACATAATTTATTGATACTAACCACGAGCAGAAGAGGATTGTAGTATAGAAATGCCTCATACAAAAAGAGATCTCTCAGATCAGCGCTCATTCGCATAACAGAATGCCATCCAATCTGGCAGTCATAAAATTGCATCCAACATAAGTTCATTGTCTATCAAAAGCGTAATACTTCCTAATTATAACTTGCTCAAGCCTCCCCCACACCCCCCAAGCCTCCCCCTCCCACCCCCCCCCCCCCCCCAAACCCCTCTTTCCTTACTCCCCCAACCCCAAATCAAACCAAAAAGTCAAAAAACGACATAAAACAGAAAAAACTGACCTTGCAACAGCAGAACCCCCAGATGAAAAACAGCAATACCTGTACATCAATTTAATCAGAAAGCATTAAAGATAATGTATAAACTAACCAAATGCATATCTAGCAAAAGCATCCTTTGACCAATCCTACACGACATCTCGAGCAATACAAACATCTTCACCTTAAATCTCCACAAGAAAGTGGGTGATGGCATGATCACCCCGCCACTCAACGGAGATGTTAAATTTATACCCTTCATTTCATTAACCCCAGATGAATGTAAAAGAGATTCTTCACTGCTTTCACCTAATCATGCACAGGTAGCATTAGCCATAAATTAACAAAAAAAAAAACTAATTTGGCAGTAATTATCATGTCAGTAATGTAATTTGAACTCGTAATGTAACAACTAAATCCGAAACCGAGGGACGAATGATCACACCATTCCATTTCCAACAAAAGATTGAAAAAATTACCCAATTCACCAAAAACAGGTCTACTGCCAGATTTCCGGAGATGGGGACTATTAGCATTCACAAGTCCCCCAAACATAGATAAATATCGGAAATTTTATGCAGTGCAATTGCACCTAAACCCACTCCTAACCCTAGAATCTGCACAAAAAATTGAAAAAAAACCCAAAAATTATCACAAAATTACAATCGATAAACCTACATTGTGCAACAAATTTCGTAAAAAAATTCGTAATTCAAAATCAAATCAAAAGCTACTATTGAAATCTTCACCTTCAAAATTTCGACCACTTTTCAGCGTTTCAATCAATGATTTGCGAATTTCCGGCACTGTTAAGAAGGAAGAAGGTGATCGGCGATTGATGAAGAAATTGGAGCGAGAGGATGATAAAATGGGGGAAAATGATGGAGAAATTAGGGATCCGAAGAATAATGGGAGAAAGTGCAGAGCTCACTGAAATTGGATCTCGTCAACTATGGCGTGGAGTATAAGAATGTTAACTTACTTTTGCAAATTGCAATTTTCAGTGTAAGGAAATTTTATTTTTTTAAAGAAAGTTGAATGTTAGAAGAGTTTAGTGGGTGCCCTTTACTAGCTTGTCTCATGATTTCTATTTAAGATATAAGGGCGTTTATTTGGTGTTCACTTCGAGTAAACATAAATAGAAGATATTGAAGTTTCATAAAAGTTGTAAATCATGTACCGATGCTTAAGAAGTTGTAAAACGGGTACTACTCAGGTGGATGTAATTTTTCTGGAGGTAAACTTTTAGAAACAGTTAGGTTAAGTTTAAAAAAAAACAATTAATTTTCCTACTGATAAAACTACCTCGAAAAAGACAAACCGTCATTACATTCTGACACAATGCTTTGGCGGGAGAAAATGAAAAGCCAATTGCCTTTATAAGCTCCCTTCTCCAAGAAGCTTCCTCATTATTTCCCATTTCAGTAAAAAAAACATAGCTTAAAAAAAATCTAAGTCTCTATTCTTGAAAAAGCTCCATTAATGTTGTGGCCTAAACCTGTCCCACCATAATCATTGAAAGTTGCTCATATTAACACTGTCGAAGGTATATTCTTCTCTTTTGTGTATTTCGTTCTTAAATTCGAAAGTGATGGTTTTTTTTTCGCAATTATGGTATGCTTTGTGGGTTTGAAATATGTTTGTCAAATGCAACTTAATTTTTATCGAATTTTAGTTGAAATCATGTGAATAATGTGCATGGAACATGAATTAGCTTCTTGATCATGTTATATATAGTACTTTTAGCAAGTAATTGTTAATTTTGGCTAGGGTTTAGGGTAAAACAAGGGGTTATATGGTGATGAAAATGGGCCTTAACTAATGTATGTGTATTGTCTAGGTATGGATGCTTTGTCAAACGCACACCACTTGTGGAGCAAGCATGATCTGCCTATTGCTATTACCCACCTTTTCCCTAAGCTGAATTGGACTTCACGCCTAGCCATAGAGCATACTTGCTGGAAGTTCAAGCTTTGGTGGTGTACCCGTCACTTGGTTTACCGCTTCCCATTCTGTGGTCCTAGCGCCTCTGTCAATGAGTGGATTCTGAATTATCTCATCCACAATGATGGGAGAGACTTTAGTGGCTGGATGAACAACGACATGACTATCTATTTTGTCGATGGATTCCCTCTGCTGTTTGGAAAGCAATAGCAGTGTGTCTAGGGGGTGGGGATTCTTAGATGCAGTTTGTTGCTTTTTGGAGATGAAGCTGCTTGATTTAAGCTTTGTTTAGATGATTTTTAAGTTTTTATAGGTTGTAAAGTATGTCATGGGAGGTTAGTTTTTGTGTTTGTGACAAATTAGGTACATCTTTTGTAATTTGTCACTACCATGACATTCTTAGTCAGTATTTGGTGAGGCAATGAATGCCTCGATTTTGTAATGAACAAATTATCTATTATATTTTAATGAATGAAGTTGTTTATTATAAATTCTTTTTTTATGCATTGTTATCCATTGTTAGCTATCTTTACATGCTCATTACTTACCTTTATGCAAATTGTATATGAATGGATTAAGAAGCTGAAGTTTGCTTTTGACATTTAATAAATTTCAAACTTTCACGGATAACATGTTTGACTTGAACCCTTGCATAATAGTACACCATGGAGAGGAATGGGTTCTTAATGGGGAGTGAGACATTCTATAATGGTGGTAGAGTGATTGTGTTTGAATATATTCTAGAGTTTGTTGATTCCTCTTATGTCAAGCAACTAATAGAATCATTAGGCTATACTAATATTATTAAACTACATAATTTGGATCCTAAAAAGACCTTACAAGATGGGATTATCTAGGATTTGCTACTAGGAAATCTGTTATTAATGTTGGAGTTCATGGTAATTCATGTGTACACAGAACATGAATTAGGCAGCAACATACAAAGCAATGTTAAATCTGAGCAAAACTATCTGAAAATCCAAAAATCCGATCCGTATTCGATCCGAAAAGTATAGATAACCGATCCAAAATCAGTTTCGGATCGGATATCCGATCCAAAAAAAACGAAGATCAGATCGGATATCAGATATCAAAATAATTTCGGCTATCCAATCCAATATCCGAAAAAAATACTCAAACCAACAAACCATAAATACCCTAAAAGGCCCAAATACCCCCAAAAGCGCCTAAATACATACCCAAACCAAGCAAACGCTAAAATCCTAAATCATTCTCACCGCCTCTTTCCCTCTATCTTTTCTCTCCTCTAACTTTTCTTTCTTCTTTAACTTCTCTCTCTCCTCTCAAATTCATCCTCACCACCACCACCCTCTATATTCTCTTGCATCCTCACTGTCTCTCTCTATCTCTTCTATCTATCTTCTCTTTCATCTTCTATTCTCCTCCTTCGATCTCTACAACCCCACCGCACCACCACTGATCAGCTTCCCTCCTTTGAATGCTTCACCGGCGACCACGCAACACACTCCTTTAGCCACTACACCATTATCAGCAACCGCAACGACTTAAAACCGGAACAACAACCGCATCAATAAACGCACCTGTAAGGGTATCTCTCCCTCGAGCTTCCAACCCGCAACACCAACAATGTCTTTTCTTCTCAACTTCTTCTCAATGACAATTAAAATTTCTTTCTTTTGTATTTTGAGACAATTAGTTTGCAGATTTGTGTAAAATTTCTTTGTTTTGTAATTGGTTTGTGTAAAATTTCTTTGTTTTGTAATTTGTGAAAATTATTTGTTGGATTTTTTTATATTTTTAGTCTATTTAATCTTCAAGTAGTTGCTATGAATCAATTTTTTTTAGACAATTGTTGCAGAATTAATTAGCTTGCTCAAATTCAATTCAACGTATATATTAATTTGCCTTTTTTAAAAAAATTGCCATTAAATAGGGTCGGATATTGGATATCCGAGCTATCCAATCCTAAATTTTCGGATATCCGGATATTGGATATCCAAAAATTTTCGAATCGGATACGGATATCAAATATAGGAATTTTCGGATATAAATATCCGAATCGAAAACTAGTTTCAGATCGGATATCCGATCCATGCTCACCCCTAAGCAATGTAGCTACTGCATTACAGACATATTTGGGAATATAATTAGCCAAACTCATTAATTATAACAAACAATTGCAATTTCCTTTTTTTTTTTGACTAAGTATTACCAGTTGTGCAAGGTTAATTTGGGAGGTAACTTGTTTAATACCTTGTTTGCAGCTTCTCAAACATCGGTACCTCATGTGCAACTTTTATGAAACTTTAATACCTTCCATTTGTGTATGTTAACTCTGTTCACTTTGGATTTGAACCACATTCACATTGATTCAAATAAAAATGCGATTAGAAAAAATTAAGTCCTATTTGATCCAACTTTTACAAAATTCAATTCGGTTGAATTTGAATTTTATTTTGGAGGAGTGGATTCAATCCGCAATTTGTATTAAAATATACAACTATATTTTTTGAGCTAAATGACCCTTTTTTAAATAATGCAAAAAAATATTACAAATAACACTACATTAGTCTACCATCTCGAAATATGCCTTAGGGAGGATTAAAAATGTTTTAATTTGTTTGATAAATGGGTTTTCTATGTTATTAAATCCAAGTAGCTTAAAAACAACGTTAAAAATTATTATATATTTAAAAACTTTCGATTAATTTGAATCTAACCCCTTCATTTTTTTCCAATCAAAAATCTAAATTTGTAAAAGTTGTAATTTCAATTCATCCAATCGGGCCAATTCTATTTCAATTTGGATTGGATTGAATTTTGTTTATTATATTTTTATTTTTTTTATCTAAATACTGGATACGCCTAATTCTAAATCCTAATACAAGAGTCCAATTGTTATTAAATTTCGCTTTATTTGAATTTTGTTTACAATATTCGATATATATTTGTGAAGCATAATTTGATCCACAGTACTATAAACTATATAGTCTCTCTTATCTATCTTCTCCAAAATCATAATTGTTTCTCCTTAATTTCACTCCTTAATTTCCCACCTTTAAGACGCCTTATTTCTTCATAGGTTCCCTTTTTGCATGGGTCCTCATTTTACTTGGACAAACAAACATTTGGAGAATGATCTTATAATGGAAAGACTAGACAAAGCCTTATGTACGGATCGGTGGTTCGCGGATTTTCGGAAAGGTCGCATTTTTCACGAGCCTATAGTAGTATTGGATCATGCTGCGATTCTTTATGATCCAGACCCGTCTATGCCACACTATAACCATCCGTATCAAATTGAGAGGTGGTGCTTGCGGTAAAACGATACTAAAGGGATAGCTTCCGAAATCTAGGCTAGTACCATGAACTGTTCTAGTATGTTTGTCTTAGCTAAAAATCTCGATTGCTTCAGAACTAGAGCACAAAAATGGTGCTGAGATAACAAAACTTTCTAGGGTGTTAATTGGAGGAGTGTTTCGAATGGTTTGAGATGCCAAGGGGATACAACTTCAAGAATTGAGGAGGGTGAAGAGTACGTGTTTGGAGTCAATCATATTATTCCTAAGTGTACCTTGGATTATCAGTTTGACAACAACGTTTGAAGGACAAATGGATTAGGGAGGGAGATATGCTTTCTTCGACTTTGTTTAACAGAGTCAAGCAGCGGCAAAAGCGGAAGGAGATCGTCACTCTAAAAAATGATGATGGCGAGTGGGTTAGCGGCCATGATAACGTCACCTCCTTAATAATCCAATATTTCACTTAAAAAAGTCTATATTCCGAGCTTCGTTGGTACTAGTCCGGTTGAGGATGATATTTGATTAGGGGATTTTTCCCCACCAATCACCATCTGACAAGTGGACCAATCAGGTTCCGCCATGTGTCCGTCACATGGGCCAATAGGAGCCTGCCACGTGTCAAGCAATGATCCGTCCACTATGGACCAATTACGACACGACACGTGTCCTTCCCATGACACATGGGATAACCGGTCACCTAGGCCCAACTTCCGAGGGAAGCCCAATTAGCCCAAGGTTAACCTAAACCTAGATTGACACGTTTCCCGAGGTTATAAATACCTCCCTTAATCCTCATTAAGGGAGATTACACGCTAAAAAGCAGATTACACACATTAAACACTCTCACCTAGAGAGACCCAATCACTTTAATTTCCGCATTAATTACTCCTTAATCAA